TTCACCCTGTCCATTGATTCCTCTTGCTTCCCCTCAATCTGGAAGGAATCGTTTATAATTCCTCTCCATAAAAAAGGTAGCAAGTCTGATGCAAAAAATTATAGAGGTATAGCAAAGCTATCCGCTATTCCCAAATTGTTTGAGAAGGTTTTAACTCCGCACTTGCAACATCTCTGCAAGTCACTTATATCTCCAACTCAGCATGGATTTATAAGGCGGCGATCAACCACCACGAACTTGTTAGAGTTTACCTCTTTCATTATTAAAGGCTTTCAAGGTAACTTACAGACGGATGTTATTTACACCGACTTTAGTAAAGCATTCGACTCTGTAAACCATACCCTTCTAGCACATAAACTTGACCTTTTAGGGTTTCCGCCCAACCTCCTGAGATGGATTTCTAGCTATCTTTGTTCTAGGTCTCAAAGAGTCCTCTTCAAAAACTCCCTCTCTTTACCAGTAAAGGTTTCTTCGGGAGTACCACAGGGCAGCCATCTAGGCCCCTTACTCTTCACACTCTTTATTAATGACTTGCCTTCAGTATTAACATACTCTCGAGTACTTATGTATGCGGATGATGTTAAACTCTGTGTCCAGTACAAGGACATTTCATTTCATTCTCGCTTGCAATCCGATCTCAATAGCTTTCAGTCATGGTGTTGTGCAAACTTGTTACACCTTAATGCCTCGAAATGCAAAGTTATGACATTTCATCGTTCTAGCCCTTTGTTGGCTCCATACACCCTATTTGGGGGTTCTCTTGAGAGAATTACCCTGGTGGATGATCTGGGTGTTATGTTAGACCCCAAGTTAAAGTTTTCCGAACACATTTCTACCATGGTAAATAAGGCCATGGGCGTGCTTGGGTTTATAAAGAGGTGGTCAAAGGAATTTGACGACCCCTATATAACAAAGACTCTCTATACTACGCTAGTTTGTCCGATTTTAGAATACGGCTCCTGTGTATGGTGCCCTCAGTACAAAGTACACCAGGACGGTATAGAATCAGTACAGAACAACTTTTTACTCTTTGCTCTGCGGGGCCTTAACTGGGATGCGGGTGTAAGACTCCCATCTTACTCTAGTAGACTACTATTAGTAAACCTCCCATCCTTAGTTAGCCGTAGAAAAAAGCTTGGTGTGATATTTGTGCACAACTTGATCAGGGGTGACATAGACAGCCCTGATCTGTTGAGCCGCATAAACTTCACGATTCCTGTTAGACTGACTAGAAATTTTATACCGTTGTTCCTTCCACTTTGTAGATCGAATTATTCCTTGCATGAACCGTTTAGGGTCTTATGCTCGGATTATAATTCCCTCTACCATATTATATCCAATACTAATTCTCTTCCTCTTATTAAATTATTAATCCTTACACACCTTTCGATTAATTAGTAACTGTAGTGGTATTTGTATTTTGATTGCATGATTAGTTTCTTAGTAAGTTTACTGCTCATTTTCCTCGAATGTTAGTCTAATAGCTTTCTTTCTTGCATGTTCGTGTTCGGTTCGGCTACGCACCGCGCGTCATGCGGCAGCGCCCCTCGGTCGGTTGGGCGGGAGGAGGGCTGCGTTTTGCCTGGGATCCGCGCGTAACAGCCTTCTGCTGGTTTCACACGGGCCACTTGACGGTGCAGTAACTGCATCGCCCCTTGAAAGATGCAGTCATTACATGTCAACGTCCAAGAAAAAAAAATATACATACATGCATTTTTTGGTGCGGAAAGGGATCCTTCTGTGATTTTCAAACTGGCAGGACTGCAAACCACCCAAGGTGGCGCTTGGTCGGCATATGCATGTATTTATGTATATATGTATGTATATTACGACTATTTGTGGCTTCCTTGTGCCTTTAACATTCGAGAAAACTTAAACTATTTCCATGTTTACTTACCTTACTTACCGTACCTAAGCACAGGAGCAGTGGACCTGCTACTATGTATATAGAAAGTTTATTTTGGGTACTGTACAACAAAAATCGATATATTTCCATACCTTTTTTCCATATATTTTTATCTTTATTTTTTAAATTTATTTTTCATTTTTTTTGTCTTGATTTTTTTGGGTTTTCCTGGTAGCTCGCACAGCTGAAATATTTTGTTGTATATCAGATTTTACAGTACAAACGTTTTTGTTTTGCTCATTTCTTATGTACATAAAAACAAATCCAACTAAATTCTATTAATTTTACTTAAATGTGTTTTAACATGAGAATCATGAATTTTCGCATTATGCGGCATACTTCTGTTTTTAGTTTTTCATTTTTCATTTTCCGATTATCGTTTTTGTTTTTATTTGTTCTTTTACGTGTTGAATTTGCTGGATATTCCCATTGGATGTGTATTATGCAATATTTAATTGTTGAATATTTGTATATTTAGTTTATGGTTTATCTTTGTATGGTTGTAGCGTAGTAGACATTGAATGCTTTACGATTTGAATGGTTTCTCTTGCTTCTGGCTGCTGGCTGCTGTCTTACGAGTATTTCACGTTCACTTAGGTATTGTTATAGTTTTTCTTAGTTTCGTTTCTTTTCCTATTCCCTCGACTCGCGTAGTTCCCCTTCTTAGATTCTTGGGTGTCTGTTTTCCTGTTTTCCCATATGTATCTTTCCCTCATTCTCATTCTTTTGCTTTATTCCCGCTCTTGCCTGACTGCAATCTGAACAATTTGATCGCATGGGATTTCTGTGTACATATACATACATACATATACATACATATATGGATATGGATATTTCTTTTTTCTTACACTTTTAGATTAAATTTAACTTTGATTTGCTAGGCGATATCGTTACTCATTATATCCACCAAAAAAAATATTCCCTATGTATAATTAATTTTACTTTATCATATATAAAATGTATCGTCTCCTCCCCTCCTTTTCCCTGTGCCTGCTTATACGAGTGCATATCCTCCTGGTACGTATATGAGTCAGAGTACATCTGAGTAGTCAGCTTTTGAAGACTTGACTACTGGAATGGGGCTGCAATTGAGGGGAGGGGTCAAGGTTCTAGGGTCTAAGGTCTAGGGTCTGGATCCGGGATATGTGGGTTATACACACATATGTGTGTACATATGTATGTATGTATGGTATGGGTATTATGGTATATTTTGGATATGAGCACACAAATTCTATTTGATTTATTTCCGTCTTTTCCTTACTTTTTCTTCTTTCTGAGTTGCTTTTAATGCTTTTGGCACATTTAATTCTGCTTTTTCTGCCTCGTACTCAACTTCTTTTGATTTACATAATATTTTAGCATTGAATTGAATCGAGCACGCACACACATGTAGATATTGGATATTCATACACGTATACGTATACGAATACGTATGGACTGTGGGTGGTTCCTGTATCTTTATCTGCCTGTCTGTCTCTGTGCATGGGATAGAGCCATGCACCGGTCTGGTCTGTGGCTCTAGTGGGGATGCTCTAGTGGGAGTAGTTAGAGACCAAGGATCCAAATTATTATTTTCTTTGCACGGTAACAAAGGTCTGCTTTGATAGGGGTGCAGTGAGGTGAACTAATTCTCACAGGAATGGAGAATGCCAAGTGGGTGGCACAGAACTGATTAAAAATCGAGTAACGTACTCTATGCTCTGGCAGTGAATGGTTACAGCTGCCCATTGAAATGGCGAAATCTGCATATTGTATAAATACTTTCTCTATCAGTAATTCATTCTCTCAAACTGAAGCAATTATGGCATTCGGGACACTCATCTAGTTGGTTGGAACTAGTTCATAGTTCATAGGATATGGATGCACTTCAAGTGACATATTTAATTTAATTTAATTTAATTTAATTTAATTTGGCTCTCCCAAATCAGTTCCCCTTATTCCAACCACCACAGAATTGGTACTAAGTTGCTCACGTAGAACGTCCCCGAAGGTGACCAGTACCACACCTGCACCCGCAGCCGCACCCGCACCCGCACCCGCACCCGCACAGAGGTTCGGTCCCAGGTTCGGAAAAGTACCTACGCAGCTGGCTTACATCTAGATTCTAGAGAGACCCACGGACGTCCGCAGTTAGTCTTTTGAGCTATGCAAAGGAGACAAACAAAACGAGTCAAAAAATAGAACCATGACATCAACGAAAACGTTCTCCAGATCACTACGAGTGTAGATATTTACAATTTATGGGCTGCATAGTTCGTCTGAACATTTGCGATTTTACTTGAACGTCAAGTCTACTCCACTAGTCCATGACTGGCTTCTTTCAGCTTCTCCTCCTTCTCCCCCCTTGAGCAGGCCACTTTTATATACAGAACTCTGGGCTAACAGAACGTGGCTTATCATCTGCACACATGTACGAGTATGTATTTAGATATACAATATATTTCCCCTAGAAAAACACACAAACCACAGAACACAAAAACCAAATAACAAACACCGAACGTAGAGGTCTGCTTATAGGTTAGACAACTAGATCATCATAATAGCTATCGATATATGTATATTTGGGGCACACATGCAGATCGTTCCTTAGTCACACTCAGTCAATGTGTACTCCAGAGCAGCCAAAGGCATTCAAAGAACCGAACACCGATAAATCTTATTATTTTTATAGTTGATTTTCTTCTTCTTCTTTGTTTTCGTTTTCGTTTTCGTTCCTTTTTCTTTTTCATTTTTCATTTTTCATTTTCCACTAACGAGGTAACATTTAAACGCATTTTATTTTCCACTTAACTACGAAACTTTAGTTTTTCCACTTGCTTTTGATTTAATATTCATTCAATTTGGCCTGCTCCTTTTCTTTCCTCCTTTTCTCTCTCTCTCACCCTTTGTAATTAGCAAGATGATTAGGTCGATGATTTATGCTCGGACTTTCCAGTCTCGTGTGGGGGCCAGGAGAGACAAGAACCGAGGGTCATAGACACAGGGAGGTAACGAGAGAGAGAGAGAGAGAGAGAGAGAGAGAGAGATGGTGCTCGTTCCCTGGGCCCCCATAATCGCGTTTGTATAATTACAATTGAATTAAGCTATAATAATCTTACTTTGTTGATGGTGTTCGGGCTAATCCTTCCACGCTCCAGCCAATGCCATTTGCCCCGGCCCTGGCCGTCGTCGCTGATCTTTCGCAGTACTCGTGCTCCGCATCCCCAGCCCCATTCAGTTCAAGTCTCAGATTCGTTTCCTTTGTGTCCTTTTGTCTGGCGCCCTTTGTGTAAAAGAACATTGTGGCCGCCGCCGTTGTGGTTGTTGGTGCCACCGCCTCCGCTGTCGCTGTCGAGGCTAATATTACCAATAGGGCTAATATAAATGTCTTGATTAGCTGCATTGTACCCTGAGCTGGGGCTGGGGCACGGGTCGAGTCTGCGGAGCTGCCCAGCTCAGGCTCCTGCGTGCGGTCCTTGTAGAGACGACCGTTCTGGTTGCGTGCGCCCTCTTCGTGCCGGTTCTCCTTGTGCCGGTTCTCCACCTCGTGTCTCTGCATCAAGAGAGAGCGTTTTATTTGGTTAACGGCCTTTAAAAGTTGTTCAGAAGTACTCGTTGTTGCGGTGTGGAACTGATATACATAGGCTGTACTTCGATCTGAATATGAATACTTACTGTTACTTCGTTGATATCGTCATCGCGCATTTGCTTCCTGCCGGGACGTTCCATTTCTGTGGAAGCAGTGCAATCATCTTTAATTCAACTAGTTTTATTTATTTATTTAACTAACAACTAACTGCTAACCACGGTTTAAAATATTAACAAAAAACGGAAATTTAGGAGAGAAAAAAGAGCATACAGTTCTAACATACTTATTGTGCATGTATATACGAGTATGTTTCATTCTTCAGAGCCACTAGATTGTACTGGACGAACAGCCGATAGTTGAACACGGAACTCAGAGGGATATATTACACTCGTGTGGCTGTAAGCAACAGTCAGCAGGAAGCGTTTCCGACCGCTAAAGTACAGTCATCTCTGTCCGTCAGTCCCATCTAACGCGTAGATCTCAGGCAACATAAGTAAAAGCTAGAGCAAACCTATTTTGTGTGCAGACTGCTGTGACAACACATTGCCACAAGTGTTTCTCTAATTTCGGACACTCAAGTTAAACAGCTCAAACAGAAGGATCCTATCTATTATGTTGATAAAAAGTTGCGATCGGAGCACTACTCCCCTGACTTCCATGCCACCCGCCCTCTCTCGCTCTCGGACACTCTCTTTGAACCCTCTCTTTGACACTTTCTTTGACACTCTTCTTCGTCCAGTGTGCATTTTCTAGTGCAGCGAGCGAGATATAACGGGTGCATGATACTTCGACGGTGGGATAGAAAGAGAGTGAGACAGAGCAATGCTGCGGTATGGAAAAGGCTAGGAAATATTTAAAAATTCTGATCCAATAGGTCAATAGGTGAAAAGGTAAAGGGAGATAAACAAAGTGCAAAAATTAACGTTAGAACATAACCAGAGTTCGCGCTAGATCTCTCTAAAGAGAGAAAAGTGCCAGCAAAATTGAGAGAGTCCTACTACAATCGTGAGCCGCGACTCACAACGCTGTGACTGATACAGATTTTTTGTTAGCATATTATACTTAAATACTACTAAGAAACAATCCTCTATCAATCAGTTTAGAAAGCTGATTTAATGGACACCTGTTTAGATAATATTTTGAACAACTTTGGAATTGTTTTGAAAATTTAAACTTCCAATACTAAAGGGAAGAGTATTGTTCTGCCTGAAAACAGAAAGTCGGCAATATAAATTTCAAGGCGTGGCACATCATAGTAAAAAGTAAGAAGATTACCATTCATTCATTCATTTGAATATGTTAGTGTACTCCTAATGGAAATGTAGTGTTGGTCAGTAGCTCCCTGGAGCATCGGTTGGAATCAACTAAACTCATCTAGTGACCAAGCTTGAATATAAGTAAAGGAGGAAACGGGACCAACTGCAATCAAATACATAGTACATGCACATGCGATATCCAGCTCATCCGGTGAACCAGTTTATAGGAAACCAAAATACACACACTTTATGGGGTAGGAAACGATTCCTTTTGGCCGTTACATACATCTACACTAATCTAGTATACCCCTTTACTGTCTAGGTACCGGGTATAAGCACGGTGTACGAGTATATCACTTACCATACAGTCGAATGGTGCCTTCCGTGTCCCCGATGCTGTTCTTGGAGATGCACTTGTAGCCTCCGAAATCGCTCGACTGCAGCCGCTTGATGTGCAGCACCATCTCCATGGAGTACATGTTGTGCTCCTTCTCGGTGAGGGCATAACGATCGCCGGCAATAATCATTTCACCTGCGACAGAGCGTAGAGCAGACGATGAAAACGAGATGAGATGTGATGAGGTGCACGAGGTGTGAATGGAGTCATGAATACGAAGCAGGGCCGAAGCAGGAGGTTTAACCAAATGAGTTTAAGTTACGGGAAAAGAGCGAGGAGCAGAGAGAGAAAGCACGAAGCATGAAGCATGCAGCATGAAACACGGAGAATGCTGTTGATGAGAAGTCGAGCCATTGATGATGACATTTCTGCCATGGCTGCTGAACGTTTCACGTTTACGCTGTGGCTCCTGTCACGTTTGCAATATACGTCAAATGCACTTGACAAAAGAGCCATCCAGCCAACTCTCTACTCTCTACCCACTCTGCTTACTCCTTTCTCCACACCAGTCCTCTTAACAACAAAATATTTCAGCGTCGAACACGAACCAAATAAAGACAAATTGCGGCATTGAAAGGTTTATAAAGTTTCAACGACTGTACCAAACTTGGAAATGCTAAATGAAAAATTCAATTCGTGGCCAATGGTGGCAACCTTTGACTGCCAGTGCCACTGCCACTGCCACCGCCAATGCCGTTGCCGCCATTGCTCCCGTCACTACTCCCTGGCTTACCATTCTCGCGCTGCCAGTAATTGATGGCCTTTGGCGATGCCTCGACATTGCAAATTAATGTGACATCCGTTAGGACCGGGGCGCCGACCAATTGATTTGGCACTTGAACCAGCGGATGAACTGCGAAAGAGAGCCAGAGAAACAGAAAAACAGAAAGAGAACGAGAACGAGAACGAGAAAGGGGAAGAACAAATAGAGAATGAGAGTTAGTAAGTTGGTTATGCCAATTCCAATTGTTAGTCCATCAGCGGCTGCGACCTTGTCGCTCCCTACCGGGCTAGACTGGCAATTAAGCCCCAACGGACCAGAGTCGAACTTCAAATCAGTGTCCGGTCTCAGTTCGTCTTCCAGTCCCAGTCCGAGTTCCAGTCCCAGTCCCAGACCCAGTCCCAATCCCATCCCTCAACCTTTTTACGAGACGATTGAAGGCACTCGTTTCCCTTACATCTCTTTCTCGCTGCTCGTATTAACAAAAACAGCTCCAGACCCCAAAAACAACAACTGATACGATTTTAATTGAAAATGAATTATTTTGTTGTTAGAGAGCCAACAATCCTGGCCAACAATCAGAGTCGGGCTAACCGTCCATCCTTCTCGCCCAGTAGTCAGTGGAAAAACGAAAGTGGCTTTTTCTCTTTTTCCGATCCCATTTTTGTTGTTTTTCCGTCCTCTTGTTGGTTATACACTCACTTGGTTGTGGCTTTTGTTGATAGGAGTTGGCTCCATCAACCATTTGCTTGATAGCATGATGATCCCTTAAGGGCTTAACGAGTCTTTCATTCAAAAATAATGATATCACACGGGAATTATGGATTTCCTTAGATGTTCTGTATTCGTTCATATGTCATTTAATCAGTGATGTGGGTAAATTTTTTGCTGGGAATGATCATGGGTAGGATACATATTTCACTAATGGTTGAGTAAATTGGAACATGCTTCAAAGAAAGTCCTTTGGGTCACTGGATGATGCTAATCTTGAATTGCATAGAATTACCCTAGTTTTGCCCTTTAGTTACCACCAATTTTACATTCAGTAGGCGGAGAAGAATATTTCATTTGTCCTCACTTTCTTTTTCGTTGGATATCCTGGTAAGGGCATTCAGAGTGCACCGTAGTCATTGCCTTCCTAGTGGCTTCTGTCCTTTGGGACTTTAACCATGTTTTGTGTGTCGTGTTGAGATTTTAACGTTCAGTTTTTCTTTATTTTCATCATTTGTTGCCCCTTTTTTGTCCCTCCTTTCATCTCCCTCTAGCTCCTGTCTTTGAGGCTGGGCTGTCTTGGTTGGCTTGAGGGAACAGAACAGCGGCACCAGTAGAGCCAAGGGCCATAGGTCCGGACCACAGCCGTAACCAGCTCGGGGCCAGCCACTCGCCGTCATTGTTTTTTGGCTTTTCAACTTTGGTCTTCTCGTCCGCAGCCTCTCCTCCTCCTCCTCCACCCACTCCTCCTTCGCCGAGGCAGCTGGCTGCCATCCGCTGCCGTTGGCTGTGTTCGAGCGTTCATTATTGGTCAATTTATTGGATTTTTGCATGCTCCATTCTACATTCCCCATGTGGCCGTTTCCGTGTCCGTACTTCTGTCCGTGTGGGGCTGCTTCTTCGCTGCTCCTTCGCTGGGAATAGTGCAGCATATGTCGGGTGTTGCTTGTGTGATGTGTGGTGTACACTCCTGCGCCACCCCACACCACCCTACGCCACCCCACCCGACCACCATGCCCCGCGGTAGCCTTCCACTTATTGAAAATTCAATTTGTCCTAATAGAGTTTTGTAGCAGGCAGCTGGTTCCAGCGACTCAAAGATGCAACGGCCGAAATAGTAAATATTCTTCATGCACCTCTGCATGAGAAAAGAAAAGAGAGAGAAAGAGAGAGAGGTAGAAAAGTGGTGAAAGGAGAATAAGATTGAGGGAAAGAATAATTTTCCTGCTGGATTTTTCTTTTATTCGCATTTCTTAATGGCTTACTTCCATTGGAAGTCTTTAACGCCTAGCCCGACGATTCTGAGGTGCTGCTGGTGTCGCTGTCCTCGGTGCTGCTATCGCTGCTCTCGCTGGTGCTATCGCTGCTCTCGCTGGTGCTGTCGCTGCTCTCGCTGGTGCTATCGCTGCTCTCGCTGGTGCTATCGCTGGTGGAGGCACTATCAGTGGTACTATCGGTGGTGCTGTCACTGCTGGAGCTGCTGTCGGTGGTGCTGTCACTGCTGGAGCCGCTTTCTGTGGTAGAAGTGCTTGGGGGTATGGGCCAGCATGGTCTAGGACGACGACCCGGGGGACGGCGTCCCGCGGGACGACGACCTGGGAAACGACGTGGCGGAGGACCTCCTGGTCCACCGAAACTACCTGGTCCACCAAAGCCGCCTTCATAGCTGCCTGGTCCTCCATAGCCATCGAAATCCCTACGACCACCTCGACCTCCTTGGCCACCAGGTCCGCCCAGAGCGCGACTCCGACTGCCTCCACCTCCACCTCTGCCACCGCGTCCTCCACGACCACCGCCAGGACCGCCCTGGGCCATGGCCACCGCTATAAGAGCGAGAAGTGCAAGTCCAATGTATTTACGCATGCTTAGTCTTAGATAGCAATCAGATGAGCAACTGACTTTACTGCCCACCGAATCACCTTTTATAATCAATTGGAAGGCCTGCTCTGAGCCTTCGCTGCGTCATAGCTGACGTCAAAATAGTGGTATATTTTTGTGTGCATAGCTGAAACTTGGCCGAAACCACCGAAAGAGTGCCAGCCAGCCAGCCAGCCAGACAGAGAGTTAAGTCAACGGATGGCAATGGAACCCCCAAAATCCATTGCTGCCGTTCCATTCTTCTTTCGTTCCATTCTCTAATCATCGGAGTGGGGTTTTCAGACCCTGGATAACAGGTGTCGATTGTTTGAATTGGCCGTTGTTTTTTATTTGCCCCGTTCTGTCCGATGCGAGGGTTGCGGGAGACAGGCGAGTGTTGGCCTGGGATGGAAAGGTGGTCTGCCTCTCTTGAAAAGAGTTATTTGCTGGCTTACAAAACAGAATATTCCCAAATTATAATCAAATATTAAAACGCTTTTAAAGTAGATGGACGTATGTGAGTATATCAACAAAAAACCAGTGAAAAGAAATTTTATTTTCATTTCCAAAGTAAGACAAACTTGCGCACACTGCAGAATTTCTTTAAAATAAATTAATAAGATAGTATTGCCTTTAGGGTAGAGTTCTATCCAATCGGCGGTAGCCAACTGTGGACTGTATGCAAAAAAGTCAAAAAATCTAACAATTTTTGTATTTTAACAAATAATTTTTTAACACCACTTTGGAAATCTAACGCCTTCTGCTTGCAAGAAGGCGGCAAAAAGCCAAGCTTCTTAAAGGGTAGAAGATACAAAAAGCTTGGAACGTTTGGCTAGTGAAATACTTATTCACTTGGAATCTTGTGGAGAATTGCTTGCCTCAGAAGAACGACTATTCTTTTCTTGCTGATGATATTTCGACACACTGTTACCCATTGGAACAATCTAGATTTCAATGATGTTCAATAAAATAACTGGCTGCAGACTTTGCAGCCTCTGTGTGCCACACCAACCAGGCTAAATGCCCACAGAGCTTTCGCTCTGTGATACCAGTCTCTGCACTCCACGTTGGAGTCCGCCAGAGCCAGCGCTACAACCAGTATATCAATCCCTCGTCTGTTGAGGATTCTACCTTCTGCCTTAGATCTGATGTTGTGCTCCTGGCGACGGCCGTGGTTCTCGTTAAGAATCGATCTGGCGTTTTAGTTCCTTATTGTGTTATCCTAGATTTAAGATCACAATTGCATCTCGACACATCATGGTTCGCCCAGCAGCTTCAGCCTAGGAGAACTGAAGGATCTATGAAGCGTATTGTAGCCGATTAAAATATTCCATATAATATTCATCTTGGCGTTCATGTATTTTTTAAAGTCTTCATTGATGCGCGCTTTTTCTATGATTCCCTTTGCGTTTGATAAGCCTAAAGGCGGAGAGTCTCTTTTGCAGAAGATCGTGGAAATCTTTGTATGTTTTGGGAAGCATCAGCGGCACCAGAGTTTCGGTGCTGTCCCTAGGCCCGTCTACTGCTTCCAGTGTCTGTCGCTCGTGGTCAAACCTGTGGCAGTCGAAGAGGACGTGCGGCGCATCTTCCTCTATGCCTGGGCCACACTGGGGACTCTGTCCTCTATTTCATGGCCGAAGCGTTTGAGGTAGCTGCGGAAGCAGCCATGTCCGGGAGTGACTCAGTGCCAGGGAGATCCAGGCCGTGCCAAGTGCCAGGCCGTGCTTCCTTCCAACCCAGCATGCTATGCGTGGGATGCGTATCCCACCGAGTCTGCCATCCGTCAATGCTGATCCTTCTGGCGTTGTCCGTTAACTCGGCTTTGGTGAGTATCCCAGCTACACTGTCCTGCATGGCGTCGTAGATCTCCTTCCTTCTCACCTTCCTCACCTCAGCGGCTTTCGCCCACACTGACACGGCGTAGAGCATTAGCGACGTCACGACGCTCGTCAGCAGCTTCCTCGTTGCCTGCTTCGGTCCTCTGGTGTTCAGTAGCATCCTGGAAAGCGCTCCCGGGGTCCGGCCGGCCATACAGGGGACGTACCCCAGGTATTCTTTGTACGTGCGCGTGTCGATGAGGACTCCTAGGTACTTGGATTGTGGTCCCACCAACTTGCACTCTGGCGGTCTCAACCACTTTCCGGAGCGATATTAGGACTATCTCTAGTCCCGCGGCGGCAAGCCATGCCTCTACGGCTTGGACGGCCACTTTGGCAAGATCTTCCACGGAGGCGAGTTCCTTCTCTACTGCCACTATCGCTCTATCCAGAGCAGGTGCCCCAAAACGGAGCCCTGAGGGACTCCGGCTGGCACTTCGAATGCCCTGGAGCCCAGACTCGTGTCCAAGGTGAGCACCCTGTTGCTAAAATAGCGGCGCGCTTTATTCAGCAGATAGCTTGGGATGTTATACATATGTGCTCAGAGCCTCCAGTGTTCGAACCCAGTCTACCGAATTGAAAGCATTCCTGATGTTCAGGGTCACCACCAAGAAATAGGGCTTTGTGCCACCTCTCCACCTGGTCCCAGCAGTGGCCTTCTCCGAAATTTACACAATCCTTCTAAGGGCGTTCTGCGTCGACCTCCCTCTCCTGAGCCTAGATACAATGAAATGCAATGTGATCTGATCCAGATGCAGGACTTACTAGCTTTTCAGTATGCTCCTGTTTTAAGAGCTGTACCATCGCGATTTCGAAAAAATGAAAATGTGTACTTTAAAACTAGGTGAAGCATACTCAAGTTATGTGGAAAATAGCACATTTATACCCGATACTCAATCAATATATGTGTTGCTATCTCGCTCCCCTCCACCAGAAATACTATGTCGCACACTACACAAAGAGTGTGCGAGGGAGAAAGATTAAAGGCGTTGAAGGGAGTTGGGTAGCCACTGCAATTGAGGCTTGGCCTTCCGGCTATAACAATGATCCACATATGGATGGCACAGATTTTCGTCGTTTGTGGGGGCGAAATGTTGGTCGCGTTAGCTTTTATAGTCTCTGAGATCTAGGCGCTCATCGAGGCGGACGTATGGACAGACGGACAGACAGACATGGCTATATCGACTATATCGATACTTTATGGAGTCGGAAAAGCTTCCTTCTATGTGTTGCACTCAGTCGTGGATGTCACCACTCCCGCTGAAAGTTCAACGTGTCCATGCTGAGCATCCTGCCGCTAAAACAGCTGTGCAATATATTTAGCAGATAGCCTGAAACGTTGTCCAGAGTTCGACCGGAGTCACCCAGTCACCCAGTCACCCTTCTATCGCCCTAATTATAAAAAATAACCATAATTGATTAGAAAATTTCGGAGCCCCAAGTCTATCAGAAATTAATTAATTCCCGGAAAAAAACCCCTAGAATTAGCAATTAAATGCACCAATCAATTGACTGCGTACCGCATTGGGCACATACTAGAAGTACCCACAGGTAGGAAGTGGTAGCACCTTAGACCAAACTAAACAGGCTCATCTATCCCACAGGCGACTCCTCCCCCAAGGAACACCAGCTACTTAGCAGTGGGCTAAGACTTTAATTTCGCACACCTTTTTGGCGCTAATACACGTCCCGCCCTTGCAAAGCCCGGCAAAGCCCAGGATCTACTTAATTTTCTGATTAGAATCAATCAAGCAGTGCAGGCAAGCGCCTAGGGGTGGGGCGTCACACAATGACAAGAAATCAAAGGCAAAGCTAGCAGCTCTCTCTTTCTCTCTCTCTCTCAGCCACTTAGGCAATGAGAAGACGAGAACAGTGTGAGAGAGAGAGAGAGAGAGAGAGGAAGAGGCGCCACACTCGCCTCTTCTCGCACACAGACGTATGTATGTACATACATATGTATGGATTTTAAAATTGAAATTGAGTCGGAGGAGCATCTTCAGCGTCTTCGGTGCCAATGTCAGCAGAGGAGGTTGAGAGCGACCAAAGGAAAAAGCCAAAAGCAATAACGGAACAATGGAATAAGGGGAAAGGAGAGCAGCTTTATCGATGCTGGGTGAGGACAGTACAGAGAGAAAGTGAACGAAGGTCCTACCAACCCAGCTGATGGAAATGAAATGACAAAAGAAATGAAATGAAAGACAAAACCTGAAAAACGAATTTGTGGCATAGATAAAATAAAAATGAAAATTAATTTTTGCGGCACACAGTGCGAAAGGGGGCCAGACAGCGCGAGTGTGTGGCAAGATACTCCATCTCTCGAAAAGTGGCGAAACATTTTCACGCCCGTGTCAATATAATTTCTAGATAAGACCTTGTCTTCCGCCAGGGTGCTGCTTTTTTCTCTTTGTCCTTTTCTTTGTACCCCCTCCCCCTCCCCCTCCCCACACACCATCGTATGTTTTTCTTACCTATGTACATATTTGTATGTCTACTTATGCCCACCTACTTATGTTTCATCCGTCTTATGTCTCCTTCACCTTCACCCCCACATCCACCTGCACCTCCTCCTTCTACTGCTTGCTAGCCCTCTTCTGACTGGGTCGACTCTCCTTGCAAGACTAAGAGGTGGTTCTACCTGCTTCTACCGCTTGCCAAAATGTCGTCGTTCAAACTTTTGCCCGCTTGGAAAATTTCATTAACTTTGATGCAGGAAGGTAAGGCAGGGACAGAGAGAGCATGGAAGAGGGCTGGGAGTACGGGAAAAAGTGCGGGAGCTGCCCTTAACAATTACACCGCACACACACATCCGCACGCCCACATACAGACTCACATACATATGTATATGTATATGTATATATATAAACAAATGGGGAATGCCCTTAAAGTTTTACAACAGGAACGTGACGTTGCTTGCTTGGATGTGGATATCCACCCTGCCGCCCCAGCGTTGCGTCGCGTTGCTGTCCTAATGCATTTGGAAAGTTTGCCGGCCACGTGAAGGAAGCTGCCGGATATCGGAACGGAAACACTTGCAGTTGGCGCCCATAGCGTTATTGCTGCGGTTCTGTTCCTGTTTCTCTTCCTGTTCCTTCTCAATACATATACACACGCAAACACACACAAGCATCCACACACACACACATGCATATGTACATATGGTGGCACGCACATCATATCCGACCCGGGCTATAAGTTACCATTATGATTATTATGGTGCATTAGCTCCTTCCCTGCCGGGCCCCATAAATCAAAGGAAATCATTTTCTTTGCGCCACCAGCATGTGGCACCACCCATTCATCATCTACAGTTGCTTGCAGTTCAGTAGGGTATGGCCTGGTAGGGATACTCACAGTGCACCTGTAGCTTCATCCGCTTGCTCACCGATGGCGGCACTCCGTTCGAGGCGATGCACATGTAGGCGCCCATTTCCGATCGCGTGACTTTGGAGAGCGTCAGCATTTCGCCTTCGACGGACGGGGCTGAAGGATTGACATGCGGTGGGTTAGCTAGTCACTTTACTCTAGTCTCCACCTGCAGTGCATTGGAGTGCAGTGGAGCGGAGTGGAGTGGATGGATGGCTCACCTTTGGTCTTCTGGTGCCCGGCATGCCGTGCAATAATCTCGCGTCCGTCCTCGCGACGCCAGGTGATCCGCGGCTTGGGATGCCCGCGGGCCCGGCACACGAGCTTGGCCGCACCGCCCTCGGGTACCATCAGGTCGCCAGAGGTTTCCTCGTTGATAATGTCGGGCGGGATGACCACCTCGAGGGTGGCTGTCTGTAAGTGAACAGAGAAGGGCGTCGATCTAGTTAGTAGGGGATTAATTTCCATGCCATTTGCTTCGCTCGCTCCCTCCCTTGCTCCCAAATATCCCATAAAATGGAATTCCCAATGCCAAATTGCAGCCACCCATGTTGCTTGGCTCGAACTCACTGCAGCTGGACAATGGGGCCGAATATTGTTCTGTTGGTTACATTTAGGTTAGTAGTAGAGTTGACGCAAAGAGAAGCTCAGTGCATTCGAAACCCTGATGCTAAGCTTTCATAACTCAAACAGGTGCCTCAAAGTTGGAGCCATCAGCTCCAAGACCTTGCTTGCCCCTGCTGTCCTGGGCTGGAGCCAGTCCACCAACTAACTAAATCCCTTGCATCAGTTTAAGTGGCATAACTAGCTCTGTTCAAAGCACAATCTGCTCAACGATTATGCCAGTTGTATCCTTAATCGATAGATTGGTTCTCTCTGTTGAACAGCTTTCCGATAGTGCTGGCCAACGATTCTTAATGGAACGAGTGGACAAATTGTCTCATTATGCGGCTGTTCTATAGTTCTCTTTCTGTCTTTCTATGTCTCATTTGCTCATTCAGCGTGGTGCCTGTTTTTTACATTTGTTTCATTTTGCGGTTGTTGACTCCCACCAGCAATAACCGAATTGCTGCTATCATTGTCGTTGTCATTGTCATTGTCATTGTTCCCGCTGCAGTTGACAGTTGTGTCATAAAATAAAGTTGACGTCGGAGAGAAAAAAAAGCACGAAAAAAATAACAAAATGAGGAAAAAAGAAAGCCCCAAACGAACCAAGCGCGAAATGTATACTAAAGATGGATATAGAGAGTGGGCGAGAGCAAATGAGAGGGAGAGGGAGATGGTGGGGCAAGGGGGGCGCGCACCAAGAGGGTAAGGGAATGGAAAAGGCTTGAAAGGCAGGACAGCAAGCAGGAAAAGCGAACCAGGGGGAGGACGTGAAGCCTGTTTGCTTTTTATTTGTCTCATATTTGCTTTTCACTCAATTCGCTTTGTTAGGTTGATTTTATTACAAGCCATGGGTGAACTCGGAGGGGCGGGATGGATGTGGAGGGGGTTCGTTTCACCTCCATCCCCCAGAATTCAGTTGCACATCCGCCCCATCATCACTCGTACAGTATAAACGAAATGAAATTGAAAACGCAATCGTTTTGCACATGTCGAGCGAGAGCGTTTAATGGCATGATGGGGAAGGTGGAAACGGGCCGGCTATCGGGCATGCATGTGATGGAGGGAACGAAATGGGAACGGGCCAGAGGAAAATGTATTACTGGCGGGGTGGGGGGTTGGGGGGTTGGGGGGTTGGGGGCTGGTCCTGGTATTCGCATAAAAAACGCAACTCTACTTGATTCGACTCGAGTAGTCAGAGGAAAAGCGTCACATGAGACTGACTCCCACACTTAAACTCTTTCCCCCAAACACACACACACACACACATATACACACCAATGAACATATGTACACACTCTGGTAACCACACTGGAGCATGGTTTGATGACGTCAACGTTGCATCACCGCACTGGTTGTTATTTATTTTTGTCATTAAAGCGCTTCATTGTTTATATATCGTGTTTAAATGTCAGTGCCACCTACCCTTTCCCTCTTACACCCACCCAAGTTTGTGCCCCACAAAGAGGACTGTGAGAGAGAGAGGGAGAGGGAGAGAGATAGGGGAAAGAAAAACGAATGGGATAGACATCCCCACATTCACACACACATACATATGTCAAATGAGGATGGTGAAACTTAAAGCTCAGGCAGGCAATGAGGGAGCCTCCAGAACCATTTCATTATACTCTCGGGCATGTTTCCAGTTTTGGGCTTTTTTCGCCTTTCTGTCAGAGATAGCTTTGATTTGGTCGGTCCCAGAAAGTGGGCAGAGGAAAAAAAATGGAGAGTAAAGAAGGAAATGGAAGCCCAGAGAAGAGGTCGGATGGAAATGGGAAGCATTTAAAGATAAAGACAACACAGCTAGGCGACTCTCACCCAACAATTTCAAATGCACTCAGCATACAAAAGAATGAAATTATAAATTTAACAACAGCATCAGCAATTAGATGATTGCTGAAAGGGATAAGCGGCGGCTTCCAAAAGAACCTAATACAGTAAACGTAGTCTATTCACTATTCACTATTCATTCCCCTTTTCGGCAGCATTTCTCTCTCGAATAGAACAATAAAGTACAAAGGCTCTTAGATATTGTATAAGAGTATTATTTAGGCATTCTCCGATTCATTCTTTAGCCATTTTTGGCCATCCAACTATGCACTGTGCACTCACCTGCATCTTCATGGGATCTGTGTTGACCTGGCACATGTATTTGCCGGAATCTTCCATTTTGACGCTGCGTATGTTGAGAGTCCATGTGTTATAGTCGTTGTGTTGCACCGTTAATCGATCATTGTTGGTTATCACGTGCTCGTGTATGGCCAGAATTGCCTTGGCATCGGCCTTAATCCAGGCAACCTGATGGCGCCACACACCACACCACAGTTCCCAATGTGCCAAATGGAATGATGATGGGAACGGGAACGGGAACGCCGACAGAGCCAGAGCCAGAGCCAGAGTCAGAGTCAGTCAGGAAATTGGAATGGGGATAAAGGGATGACCATTGTTGGTATCGTTGTCGTTGTCGTTGCCGTTGCCGTTGAGTTGAGTTGATGACACAGGCGTTTTGTGTGTGGCGTTGATGAAGACAACGGTCGGCCGTTGTTGCATGTCAAAGTGTTGTTTGTGTTAGTGTTGGTGTTGGTGTTTGTGTGGACCAGCGTTTTGCACGCCAGATGTTTCGAAATTGCAGTTTGATAGCCCCCACAACACAACAGCAGTCCCATCACATATGGAAAAAGTTCGATGTTGATGTTGATGGGACAAACGTCGTCATATTTAGTTAATGTCGCTCATTGCCATTGTCATTGTCGTCATCATCATTATAAACAATATCAATACCATTGGTGATATGTATTGGTATTGGTTCGTTAGATAGCGTTGCGTTGCGTTTCGTTTCGTTTCGTTTCCGTTTCGTGAGGATTCCGTTCGATCCCAGGCGGGAACCAACCGCACAAACCAGATCAGAGACCATTGAAATCGATTTGCGGATGTATTAGAATTTAGTTTGTGCCACCGCCACCGCCACCGCCACCGCCAACGCCACCGACAGTGGAAAAGGGCGTCGGTCAGGGTAGAGTGGGTGAGTGGGTTGGGGGTTTGGGGGTTTGGGGGTTGAGGGGTGGCAGAAAGTTAGGCATTGGTGTCAGTGTCGTTGACAATGGATTCAAAGGCGCAGGCGAGAGTGTTGATAGTCAGTTTGGGGTTCGTTGTTGTTGGATTTTGTTGTTGTCATCGTCAGATGCCAGCGCAATTTGACGCCATTTCCATTTTGTTGCAACAGAAGCAGCAGTGGCATCAGACGTCGTAGGTGTTGTTGTTGTTGTTGTTGTTGCCGCAAAGTTTTTGCAAGTTTTTTGTTTGATTTTTTTTTTTGTTTTTTCGAGGGATTTTAGTCGGTTTTTGGGTTTGAGTGCAGATTGTTAGAGTCAGATTGGTTGTTGTTGGTATTTGGGGATATGAAAAGGGATATTTCAAGTGCAATTAGTGGAATTGGGTTTGCGGTTTTTGGCGTCCATCGTTGTTGGCCATTTGGTGAATGGTTTTTGTGTGCGTTGGTTGTGTGTGTGTGTGTGTCAGTGTGTTTGTGTGGAGAGAAGAAACATTCGACAATTAGTTAACATTTTTAGCTTATGCTCTGCTTTCGCTGGCATTCATTTCCCATCTTCTATTTTGGGATTTCTCTTTTTTTTCAGGGAGGGTACAACCAAAAGGAATCCACAAAGAATAAAACAAACGTGACACACAATGGAGAGGTCGCTCAGAGGTTGCAAACTGCTGTGAATGAGGTAATGCGGGTATGACGCTTGCCCACCCCTCTTCCTACCGCCTGGATTAAAAACAATTCATTTGGAGCCCAATGCGACTATGAAAAATAACTCAAATCTTGCATGTCAATATTTTGCAGATCATCTTCCTTCATATAGCAGTTCTTAAATACTTCTTTGTACATGTACTTGGATGAATTTCACCAGCACAATGTATCGTGTATCATGAACCATGTATCAGTTGTCATCTTTCATGTTTTAAGTGCTGGTGAGCCCAATCGGCTCAGAACCTATCGATATTGGCTTCGACTCGCACCAAAAAACAATCACATCAAATTAGATTCGTGATTTTGTGGTATTCTGGCTTTGTATAATCGAGTTGCATCATGCATCAAGAAATTGGATCGTACTATTATGAATATATGATGCATGAATTTATGCATCAAAATCACTAATCGTGTGATTTCATCAGCACTATCGTAAGAAATCCATCATTGATCCCTGATCCGGCTATGTTGCTGAACGCGCACAATGATCTTTACATAGAGTTTTTAAAGTGTCAATTTGGGGTCTTCAAGTGCGTAAATAGAATACTATAGCAGCCAGAGTCAGGTAAAGGGATATTTGCTATTATTTAAATGATAAGAGAAATCGAGTGCTGTCGATCTTCTTCGAGCTTACTTTATTTTATAGATCACATTACTCTGCAATGAAACACGACATGGAAATTTGTAATATTTTTCCTAATTAATCCAGCGGCTGTTCAGTAGATGAAAAGCAAGTGTCGCACCCGCGCAGTGCAGCTGCCCCAATCCGGAGACTTGTGCGTGCGTGCAACAGCTGGGCGAACACACACACAGAGAGATAGAATACGAACGGAACGAACGAAACGAAACGAAACGGAATTAAAAGAAAAAGTCATGAATAATGGGTGCAGTTGGCGGTGCGTTCTGAAGCGGCTAATCAGTTGGCATTAACATGGCATGCACAATTAGAAAAGAAGTACAGTAACTGGGGAAAAGATGGGCTGTGATGGGGGATGGGGAGGGGGATGTTAGGAGGAAAAGATATACATCGCGTGTACAGGGCGTGGCAGCCGAAGCAACCGAAAGCATCTCTTTGACACATCAGCTTATCCCCGAGAGACGCAGTTCCATCCAACTCTTTTGCTCCTTGGCCCCGGTCCTTCGTCCTTGGTCCTTGGTCGTTGTTCCTTCCCTGTGCCTGCATATATGTACGTACTTTTTCTCGCATACGTAGTTTTAATTAGCATTATGATGTGCAGACTAAGCCTGGTCTCCGAGTTTTAGTTAATAGGCTTAAGCAGCTTTTCTACGGTCCAAAATGGGTTTCGCAATCTGCTGCTGACAGCGAGCAGGGGAGCAGGGGATGGGAGATGGTAGATGGTAGATGGGAATGGGGAACAACGCGGAGGCACTGTAATCGCGTGGAAGAGGAGAGGAGCTCGCTCATGCGCTGCACTTTATGCATATTTGAGCCACTTCCAAAGCTGTGTGCATATTGGATGCTGGACAGAATACTATCTAGCTGCCCGGCGGGGCGGGCTGGGCTGGTATCTTTTCGGACCGGCTGGAATCGGCTTAGATTTGATAGACTTTTACAACAGTTGATTGATAACTAGCCAATAAAAATGGTGGAACGAATGGTGGGAATTATTTGAATATTTGACATTAGCTCCTTGTTGTCTTGCATCTCCGTCGGCTGAAATCCACCGACTATTTGCTGGTTCATATCGAGTGCCGCGCAGCCCAAGCCAATAAGTAGGAGAGCCAATACAGTGCCATCCCCATACAGAGCCCCGGCCCCATCCACACCTCCACCCCCAATCCCCACCCGTTCGTTCGTGTGTCAATAGGAGGGAAAAGGAGGAGCGGGATCGGGATCGGGTGGCAGCGGCTCTGCCACAGAAAATAAATACCCACGGACAGTAGTGTGTCCGTCCGTCTCTTTGATGTTGGTGGAGGATTCCGCTGGCTCTCTTTATTTATTTACTCAATAAAGCAAATTTATTGAGTAATGCATGAATGCGATGGGGCCATCCAGAACCCAGCCAGGGGGTGGGGTGGAACGAGGGGGGGATCAAACAAAGGCTCAAACGGATTGTGACGAAAATCGGGGCAAACAGAAAAGGCGGCCCCAAAAAAACAGAGAAATGTAAAGGGGATTGTAAAAAATTTTCAAATGTAAATGCAAATAAACCGAGCAAATGTCATAAAGTAAGTCTACAGTTACACACACAGAGTACTACTACTACATATAGAGAACAGGACTACGTAAAAGCACACACACACACACATACACATGGCAATATACACATGTACACTTACACATTTACACATTTACATACATAGATTCATAGTTATACGAAAATGGTGCAAAGTTTGTTTCGGTTTGAACTCGGTGCGCTTGAATTTATTTTTATTAATCTTTTTTCGGGTTTATTTTTCAAGTATTATACTAACCGAAAAAGGAAATACCAACGAAATGGACTAAAATAAGAAAACTAGAATGCCATATAAAAGAGGCGAAGGGAAGGAAAAGTAACACGAAAATAACGAATTAAACGATAGTAACCAGAGATATACAGAGAGATGGAGATAGAGAGAGAGAGAGAGAAAGAGAGAAATAAAAAGAGGACAAGAATCTATCTTCGGACGCCGAAGTTTTTGATATTCTTTCAGAACGGTTTTTCGGTTTTGCTATAATCCTGGTTCCTATAGAGCCCATTAGGGCAGGGCACATTCATCGAGTGACCTTAAGGACTGTACTGTGATTCCCTGTACTAATTTCTCATAAGCGAGCGGAAGCAGCAGATTCTGCTATTTTAACGATTACGTATAGAAAGATATCTTGAATAATGCAACGAGTGGATGTAATAAGAACCTTATGTGGGAAATTGTACGGCTTTCTCTGAATTGAACGGCAAATGAACGGCCAAATGTGGATGTGCTGCTAATGGAAACTATAAATTTCTGTATAAATACATATTCATTGGATTTAGCTTATCTTCCTTATGTAGTTCGGGGATAGTGATCCGACTTGAAGTTTGCATATACAAACTATGCTGCGACTTTCAAATTTTTGTTGAATTCAAATGAAAAGAAACTGAAATACACATCTTCAGAGGGAAAAACGCCTCGCTCATGGGAAATTAATTTTCGATCGATCGTGGCTGTGACATCGGACGGACGTATTTGGGGATAGAGACGCTGCCTTCTCTGCTTTTGAAATAAACATTATAGTGCCCTCCGGTAGGGTATAACAATGCAACGATTATGCGACTGTTTGTTGTTGCTACTCGTATTGTTAATGTTGTCCCCGTTGTTGCTGCTGGTGGTGCTGCGGCTGTCCTCATTGTTCCTCGCTGTTGCTGGCAAAGTTGTTAAACAAATGGATGAACAACAGACAGGACCAGAGGCAGACGGAGACGAAGAGCCAGAGCCAGAGCCAGTGCGGCAGCAGAAACAAAGGTCGCGAATGCTCCTGCATCCAAACCTTGGCTGCGAAAGAAATCTTTAATTAAGCATATCTAGCGGAGGCCAGAGCCGATAGATATGTATGTACATATGTACATGTGTCCAACCATATACATGGATGTATGTGCTATGTAAGTTTGGCACAAGCATGTGCAGCCGTTTTGCGTGAAGTGCTGCAGCATTCCAGCAATTCCAGCCAATGGAAACAGATGGAAACAGTCGCTGCTTGAATTCCTGTAGCTCAAAATTGGAATTTCTTTGTTGGAATTTCCATGTTTACCACTCAGATCCCATTGTATCGACAGAGTCAATTTGGGGGTATCCTGGATCTTCGATGTTAGTTGGTCCGGCCTTGTCCACTCCAGTGCCATTTGTTTTGTTCTGTTCGCCACAGTTTATATATTTATTTGTTGTTTAAATAAAATGACATCGTCCCTCCTGCTCTCCCCTTTCATTCCGTTGTGCCGCTGAATGGCTGTATGGCTGCACCGCTGCACCGCTGTCCCGTTGCTTTTGTTTGATTGAAACATCGAAGGATTTATACGAAATGGCGTTTTTATTTATGAGGCCATTTCGTTGATTAACACTCTTTGACGTGCAACGCAAACAAACGGAGGGGAGAGACAGAAAAACAGCTCTGACGAAAGCTCCAACAAAACGCATCCAACGAATGCAAAAAAAAAAGGAAAGAGAGCCAAACGGTCCCAAAATGGCAAGAGGAATAGCGGTAACCGGCATTTTGGTTACACTTCGAACATTTCGGCTGACAATATTTCGATCTGAACTGCCTAATCAATAAAGAAGCGATAGATTGGCATCATGTGCACTTCATGATGTATTATTCAATGATATCCTCCCCATTCCAGAGGCTTCAGGAGCTTTAGTGGTGATTCAATTGGCATCATCGACCCATCGGGTCCGGTGTCGAACAGACACTCGTCTGTCCGTCTGACCGACCGTCTTGCAGAAATCTTCCACCACAACCTTAAGGTTTTCGTCAGGGCCTTGCAGGCGTGGATCTGCATATGCATTTGTGGAAGCTCCGACATAGCACTTCCACTGTTGGTCTTCCTGGAAGGGATGGCCTCTAAGTCCTAAATGACAGCCCCGTCCAAATGCTATTTACTACAATCTTTCTCAGCAGCATGCGATCTCAATGCGAGCTCGATGTCCGTGTTATCGGAGTCATCTTGGAGCTCGTTGGACTTCAGTGTGGTCACCAGTTGCTTCTTTGGAGGCAGTTTTTTCATCCGGTGCAGCCTTGTTTTTGTAGCTGTTTTGTAGTGTGAGAACCTATCACATTTAATCATTTTTTATTGATGACTTTTTGGCATGCCCCTCGAGCTTCATGGGACTAGAAGGAAGCACCGCCTAATGGTCTTCCAAGGAACTTCTTCAATTTCTACACCGATTTTAGCTGTCAGCTGAAGCAAATATGACGACTGCCAGTTCTGCACAGTGCGGAAATGTGGGAGTTCGAACAGTAAATTTTGAACTATAGGTACTTGAAGCTTGGAGCTGTTTGACGCTTAGAACGAACGGAAAAAAGCAAAACGGATTACGCGCTTTAAAGCGATTAAATTCTTGTTGATGAAATGACTTAATTTGTTTTCATTGTCTATTTGCTGGCGCGCTATCATCCTACCCATCGAACCCTTGGGGGGCTGTTCGGCATATAATGGCTCTTTTGCATACATTTTTGTGTTTTATTTTTTAACGATTGTCGGCTGTCGACTGTCGATTGTCGATTGTTTATTGTTGTTAACAACAATCGCTTACAGGTCTTTTTTGTGATGCAATGCGATGCTCTTTTATCGCTTAAATTCCTTCACACAGTGGACGCTCATCGCGGCTGCCTCTCGGGTGGCGACCAGAGTGTGCACACTCTCTGGGCCTGGCCCGGGACTCAGACCCTCTCTGTGAGTGTTATAAATTAAATGTGAGTGCTAATAATAATATAATACGATGATAAAAACAATAAGCTATTCGTTTTTCGGTTTCGTTTTCGTTTTCGTTTTAACCTCGCCTCGTCTCGCACAAATTGCGCGCTGTTTATTTAAATTTATTTCGGCCCCATTCCGCTCTGTTTGCCTGTGATCTGTTGGTAATGTGCTTTATTTCTCCCCACCATTATTGTTTTTGTTTTTGTTTAATTCTTTTGTTGTTGCTATAGTAGTTGTTGTTGTTGTTGTTGTTGTTGTTGCTGCTGCTGCTGTGCGTTGGTGCGTTAAATATGCAGAGTAGAGTGCTCTATATATGTATATACATACATATACATATGTAGACATATTTATGTATGTATATGCAGTAGGTATGAATATATATCTTAGATATTGTATGGTGCTATGGCAGCTATACTTGTAATTAACTATCTATATGGGTATGTGTGCATTTGTTTATGTATGTATGTATGTTTACTGGTATAGGGGTAGGTAGGTAGTAGAGTAGTAGAGTAGTAGAGGTGCGCTTAAGGGCTAGTTACATAATTGCGATAGTTGTTGTGCAGTTTGATTTCGTTATTATGTTCGTATTTGTTTGGTTTTGAAATCGTTAAAACTCTTAAATCTCAAATATTGTGCACTTGAAATGAGACAAATGAAAGGGGACCAAATCAAGATAGATAGGCAGAGAGAGAGAGGTAAGAGAGATAATAGAGATATATAGATACTGAGAGAACCGAAACTGAAACTTGAACTGAAAACAGAAACTCATTCAACGCTGCGCCTGAAACCGATACATACCTTGGCGGGGACCGTTGCACCGTCGCCACTCACCCGATGACCACCCAGATTGTTCACCACGCACGTGAATGTCGCGTCCCGGCCCTGGGCGATGGTCACGTTCTCCAGCGGGATGACAAAGTCCGGCTCGAAGGCGCCCACTGAGGAGATTTGGTTTGAAACGGTAAAATCTTCATTTCAATTGACATTTCAATGAAGAGAAAACATTGATTGAACAATTAACGCAATTTCAAACAAATTTACAAATGGCTGTATGTGTTTCTCAGTTCTGTGTGTGTGTGTGTGTGTCGGTGTGTGTGTATTTGAGTAGGCATATCTATGTGGGTGTGTTTGTGTTGGGAACGAGCGGCATGGCCTGCAAACGATTGGCAAATCAATAAGTTTAAGCTAAACGAATCGATCGATAGCGATCGATAGCGATCGATAGCGATGCTTGTTGCAGAGAGCTGGAGTTTGAGTCGCTATCGATCTGGCAGGGCAACTCAAGCAAAGATAGGACGGTTATCGATATGGTTTTGTGTGTGCAAAGCAAAGCAAAAACGGTACGTTCCACACTGAACGATCAACAATGTTATCGCTATTTGCCCAAACGCTTGGGCGCCCAAACTCGGTCTTATAGTCCGGTTCCACTAGCGCGTCGTCGCACTTACGCTATCCCTAAGCCAAAGGAGTTTTTTCATCTGATGTATGTATGTACATATAAACAGTTCGAATTCGAAAGCAGACTGGCTGCCCCACTGGAGTACAATTCAATTGACGGGGTAACTTCATAATGAATTGAGAATTAAGTAATTGTACACAAATTGTTAACGAAAACAAATATCTAGCTCGAATTTGTCCAGCAAACAAGCAGAATGACGTCTAGCGGAACCGGGCCCTCTGCCTCCGTGCCTCTCATATACTTACCAACGCAATTGCACAGCATCAGTACCAGAAGCGATAGCCAATGGCCTCTTAGGCCTCCTCGAGCTCCGATTCCTCCTCCTCCTCCTCCTCCGAATCCTCCTGGTTTTCCTATCCGGAGTTGCGCCAGCTTGGTTTGATTCCGTTGCGAAGGCTTGCTGGATGTGAAAGCAAATGTAAATGTCTGAGCGGGTTTAACGTTCAGCTTGCAGTTTGCGGAATCGACGATAGGCTCGCTGATTTTCTTGTCTACCAGAATCGCCATCATAAGACTGACGTAGTTCCTACTGGCATGACTTTATGTGCAGACTTATCTGGTTGAATATTCTGTAAACGCAAGGAAGATGTACGGACAACATTGTCCAATTAGTTTTAATAGTTTCAACTCATGAATTGTTGAAATTCTTGGCTCGCATAGCAAATCGTCTGCAAGTCTCCAAGGGTATACAAAGTAAACGAGATCACCGCTTTTAACAATACGAATGGACCTATTTAAATGGAAAAGTCTAGCAACAAAAGTCCATAATTCAAATTCAATACGCAATCGATATTTTTTGCCGAAGCCTCAATAGATATTGTTGTCGTCAAGATGACACCACTAACCATACAGTAGATATATACATAGATGTGCCAGGGCATACCATGATGGAGCTCCCCAACTCGGCTTCGGCTCAGGCGTTCGGCGATGATTATGGGCCAAACGCAGAAAGAACATCTTTGCATGTGTTAGTACACACTCAATATGTTTCGAACCAATTGGTCCTTGTTTTGGGTCTTTTGATGAACTCACCTACCGCCACAAAATAAACGAAGGACGGGCAGGGGGTGCGGGAAATAAAATAAAAGCTGTTATTTGTTTGATTTATACTAAAAAATATTAAATATTACAATAATATAATTACGCATTTATGTATATCCTTATTTTAGACAGGTTAATATAAATTATATTACTTCTTTGTTTATCCCTTTGTTTGACTTTAACTAAAATAATGATATATTTAAATATACGATCTATGAACCAAAATATATACACTAAAATAAATATGCATACATATGTATGTATGTATATATGGAATTAGTTTTACATATATTTCAAATCATTTGTCAATCGCGCGCTTTCCGACGGGAATGTTCAAAGAAAAACTGTAGATGCGTGTCGCGCCTTGAATACTCTTATAGACAATACCCATTATGTATGGGTATTCAATTATGCAACATCTCATGGACATACATAAAAATATCAGTTTATTACGTTCGTATGTTGCATGAGGGTATTCAAAAGTACTGTTGTCTTGATGTCTCGGTGGCAAGCTTCCTAGAAAAGTGTTAATACCCTAGAATACTCAAAGTCAAGGCAAGGAATCAGAGCAAAATTCGAATTATGTACATGTCTTTCCCACAAGATTCTGCGAATTTGCTATGTATATCCATCATACACGCACACACACATACATACATACATTCCATACAATTGCGCGCCCTTTAAAAGTTCTTTAGTATGCCGTTGGCAGTGTGTGACGTAACCGACACGCGGCTACGGCCACAACGCAAAGTAGCTGTTAATTGTTTTCAAATTGATTCTTTTCGATGTTAAGTTTAAAAAAATATGTGTTTGCTATGAAGGATCAGGTCTATCGAGGATCAGGTCGGGGATGTTTTTATTCAAGGAGGAAGATGCATGATCCATAGATCTGTTAAAGAAACGAAGAAGAAACCGCTTGAAGTGTTTTACGTGGCTGCGGTGCAGCAGTCGATTGTGGCCCAGTCGACTGTGAAAATACCCCAATCAACTGCAATCAATATTTGTTTATAAATACATCATTACAAATTGCTATGGAATATGCTTATTTGCACTCGCCGTCCATTTTGAATCAAATATCAGCTGTGGAAAGTGTACAAGGGTGGCAGCACTACAGGGCTGCCACCTAGGGTATATTAAATCCCGGCGTTCACAAACAAGCCGGCCTCGATTATGGATAGACTTAGGTATCCATGAGCAAGTCTGGCTTTGAGCGAACTCAATTAGTACAATGTGGATGCAAAGGTGTTCGCTCGATAACTTGGCTCCATGCAGGGCTGCATTTGGCACTGAATCGTTGCGAGATGGTGGCTTTTGTTTTTGTGGTTTCCAACACTACGTAGCTTTTTTCTCAGTTTTAAGGTTGTGTTGTTTGCTTTTTGCCATGCCGAACATTTTCCGCAGCTTCTTGTCGAATCGCTACAACGGCAAGCAAGACCGCTCTTCCGAGCGCTATGAAGGTGAGGCTGTTTCTGGTACATGAAACGCGTAGTTGAAACCAAACTTTTCCCAGCCAATTGCCGCACTGTACCCAACACGGCACAAATGCCGAGACCAGAGCCGATGGGAACCATCAAAAAGTGGAGCAGCGAACGTGTATCAAATCGCTTGTCGAATTTTACCTTCCACTACGGCAGTGGGGTCCCGAACAACAACTGGCTCAGTAGCGATGATATACCCATCGTAACGAGGCGCGAGTTGGAGGAAACAGCGGGCCAGCTGATGGCCCTTCAGCCCATTAATGAGGGGACCGAGTTTAGCCACACCATCTGGAAAATGGGGATGCCGAGGCGACACCCGGAAAAGGGCAAGGACGGTGCCAAAATAGGCTACATCCAAATGGTGACCAAAACAAATAGATGCCTCAGATCCAATGAGAATAAGTACTCTCCGGCCAATGTTCCACAGTGCACCGAACAGCAGGAAGGGCAGCTCCTCTACAGCGGCACGAGAAGGAGCAGGGCCGTGGCTCCGTTTGTCTGCCCCGAGCCAAAATGCCTCATGGAATTCGCCAATCGGTTAGTATTCGAGTAACTTCAAGGGTAAATATATGGGAATCTAATGTTGTCTGGTATCCCCTCCCGCAGCCCCAATCTGCGCTCACACCAACGCGCCAACGGACACCACAACTGGCCGTATCAGTGCGTCCACTGCCGTACCTACTTCAAGCAGATAAACTACTTGAATCTTCATAGCACCGCCTGTCGCTTGAAACTGGCTAACGGTGTTTAATATTAGAAAATAATTGGGAATGGATTTTAGTCGTAACAAATTGTAACTTTGAAAGGCTTACACAACTTTCATGTGATACCTCTCTAGTGAGACGTCGATGCAATCTTCCCAATGTTTTTATAAAATTTTTTTTTATATTTTTCACCCAAATAATACCATTGCTCGCTACCATCATCGGTCAGAGAACGTCATATTGTTGGCTATTTTCCTATTGGCCTCTCACTGTATGGCTCAAACTCTACACGCCTTCTCCATCAGTCGATCATTCGCTGCCAATTTGTACGCTGTTACCTCTCAAAATTGCACTTGAATCCGCTTGTCAGTCAGTATGCTGGTTGCACATGGCCAAATAAATAATACAAATGCGGCTACATCGTATCTGGTGTCTTGTAGATGCATAATCTATTGACAAAGGGCTTACATCTCCCGGCGCGGATGGGAGAAGGGAGCTATAGGAAAGCAGAAGGCTGCCTGGTGCCTGGGACAGCGACTTGCCTCCCCTTTGTTTGGCGAGGACAACATTTATTTTTCCAGAGACGTGGAGTGGATAAAGAAGGAGCAGTTAACAGTTAGCAACAGGAAGTCAAAGAGGAGCAGCATTTTGTTGCTGGCTCTGGTTCTGGTTCTGGCTCTGGTTCTTCTGCAGGATTCACAGGACTAGGACCTGCTGCAGGACAGAACAGAACATGGCTGGAGAGGACAGAGAAAGGACAGTCGCCCTGCACGTGCCGCTATTTACATTTGCACGTAATAAATTCACAAGGGCCACGAGGACGAGGACGAGGAGGAGCACGAGAACGAGAACGAGAACTTGCAACAGGAAATGTGCCCGGAAGTGCATATGCCGGCTGTCGTTTGCCCCACGCCCAACGTACCACGCCCCATCTCACACCACCTGCATCGTGGGGACCAACGTGTTGCATTAAAATGGGCAGCGTTCTGCTCCACCACTGGGCTCCAGTCATGGCTCCACCATGCCATTGACACATATTTGCATTGACGAAATTTAATGAGCTCACAAAAGCAGTGGGCAAATATTTGCGAGTCTGCTAGCTCGGATCGAAGCCAGCACATTAGTGAAGGCCGAAATGGGGACAGGACGATGGGCGGACGATGGGCGGGCGATGGGCGGACGATGGGGACGTGTGCAAGTCGTTTTATTAGATACGTGTCCTATCTGTCGCCCAAGACCATGGTGGCTTTCCACCACTTGCCTATCCCTTTCCGTCTCACCCTATAATCATATCCTGTCGCCGGCTGCGGGTGCCTTTTGTGGGAGCTTAAGCACATTCCTCTCCCATCCATGTCCCTCTTGTGCCCTAGATCTCGAGTAAGATCTGTCGAATGGCCCAACACTCGTAAGAGTCACACCCTTACCTAAAACCCCTTTACTCTGCGGCGAGGGGGCTCCTATTCATTGGGAATCCTCAGTGGAGGATGGTGGAAAACTATTCAACTACTGAAATTTGTTTTGGCATCCCATAATTCAGCAAGGGTGTTTAATTTCTTTTGTCATACAGGCCCTTGGATGCAGATTGAGTGCAAATAAATATTTCCTGTGATATAGCGTTCCCCCGTGTGGCCTGTGGCATTGTATGGGTCCATCCTTTAATCAGCTACATATCTCTCCCAGCAGAACTCCCATTCGACCTCCATGCAAATGCCATACGAGGAAAATGTTCAACGTACTCGATATCCCATGTAAAACAGTCGAATTTCCCCACTGAGTGTGGATCGCACGTGCACTGTGGGCACTGTGGGCACTGTGGGCACGGCACCCGTTCGGTCAGTGCATTTCCACTTCGTTGCAGTCTGTGGCCTGGAAAATTGAATTAGCTGCCTAATGATGATAATATTCTATTGATTTTGGTATGTACATTTATACCTATACCCCCTCCCACCCACACACACACACACACACACGCACCACATACACGGAAAGTGGGAAGGTAATGTGGTTAAAAATTACTTTGTTGTCGAACAAAATGACGGCTAGTGCAGGTTTCACCTGCACTGAGGTGAGGGCCACTGGAGCAAACGTTGAAGTGCCTGAGGAGATTCTGGCCCTCTTTTGGACTTTTAATTGCAGTGCAGCAGTGCAGCAATACAGCAATACAGCAATACAGCAATTCAGTGCTTCAATGCCATCGAAATGATTTACTGAGCTCTGGCTATGGCTATGGCTATGGCCATGGCTTGGGCTCGGGTTGAGATGGATGCTCGTCCCACAAAGTGGTTTAATTTAATTTGTGATTGTTTAAAGCCGAGGGCGCATTCCCTGGCTTTTATTTGTTTTGCCTGCTGATCAAGTGAGCTTCTTGTCTGCCGTTTTCTTACCTTAACCTCCCTCAACCTCAACCTCGACCTCACATTGGGTCACTTCACTTAACTTCAATTTTTTTACAGACTCCATTTTCTCCAGGCTCCGTTCTGGACTGCCATGGAAATATATTCGTTTGGCTTGGCGTAGATTTGTTTTGGTTTTTTGGTCCCGTTTATTGTTTTATTCGAAACAAGGAAACTTTAAGCAAATCAGTTTTGTTTGTGGCCAAAGTGAAATGTCGAAGTCGGAGCCACACACACACACAGACACCCATACATCCATGCACATGTGTGCACACATATTTCTTGTGTGTTGTGTTGTGCTCTGTTGTGTGTGCTTATTGTTGCTGACATTTAAAATTACACTCTTGGGAATGCCCGAAGAGAATGGGAACAAGGAGAGGATTGGCTTCAAAGTAAGCAAAATTAAGCAAACACATGGTTGGGACGAATCGTAGAAGGAAAATGAACGAAGGAATGTATGTATGTATATAGTACATAGGGGTGTATGCTGTGGCTCAGGGGGATCTGCTGCGTGGGGGAAATGACATCTGACCATCGAATGGAACGTGCTCATTTCCCACTCCACAACAAAGTCATCTTCATCTTCCACCCACTCTCTTTCCTCTCCCTTCGCCATCCTGCCCGCCACCACCTCAACGCACCGGCCGCTCCCCCCCAGCCCCACCCCCACGTGCCACGCCTCCTAGTGCCACAGACGTCCTGTGTACGTTTCTGGTCAATGTGGTCGTTGTCATGGTCAGCAAAAGTTACTTCTCGCGGCGCTTGTGGGTGGGTGGACGTGATAATGGAATGTGGAATGTGGTGCGGGGTATGGGGTATGGGGTACAATTGTACAACTAGTATAACTGTATTTGCTTAACATCACACACATACACACACACACACACAAACGTACACTGAGAGACAGACAGGGCCACAGAAAGCGACAGGCAAAACCCAAACATAAGCAAACATACATACATACATACATGGTTGTAGGAATGTATAAATACTCCTATATGAAAGACAAATAAGTTTAGTCCAGTTGAGTGGACTTCTTTCAACTTTTTGCTACTTCCAACCAGCCAACACCCTGTAGAGCTTTAGCAAATTTCCATATGCCATATGTAGGGCCTTGATCGAGAGCAGAAACTCGCATCGGGCAGCCACTTGGAACCACAAGCGTAATGTCTGGAAAAGTACGACCTTAGGGTCGTGCTATTACCCGAAAAAAAATAAACCTGAAATTCTATCTTATTTCAACGATTTCCCCCATAATATAATGCAAGTTCTTCGAAATTACAGAACACGAACACGATTCATGATCGCATTTCGGTCGGCATCTGCTCTTTCCTGTAGGCATCGATCCATTTTCACTGCCTTCCTTTGGGGCATTTGATACCTCGCATAATAATCCACTAAAGCAATGCGACTTGGGCCGACCACCCCACCTGCCGGGGTGTCCCTGCCTTCCCTCCTCCACCCATCCCGTGATGGTGCTGATGCGACAGATTTCCGAGACACTAGAAGGGGCCATGTGGCAAAGTGTAAATGAGCAGTCATAGCCAGGGCTAGCTGCAGCCAGCGGCACAAATGTCATGCCAGGAGGGAGCCACCCACACCACCCCCGTACCACGACCCCCCGGCACAGACGCAGACACAGGCACAAACACAAAGACAAACACAGAAACAAAAACACACATAGCTACAGACACAGACAAAGACACCGACCCAGCCTGAATGCATGAATATGCGTGACTGTCAACCGGTCAACACACTCACAAATATTGCCACAGGAGGGGAGAAAAATTCCATTCTAGTGTCATATTTTTATTTTCCGTTCCCGTTCCCGTTTCCGTTCCCTTTCCCCAGTCCCCAGTCCCCATTTTTGTTCTCCCTCAACCTCCTCCCTCAACCCTCCTCCTCCCCCAGTTTGCACTAGTTCTTTCTTAGTTTTCTGCTTCTCTTTTCGTCAGTTGTTATATGTGACGCACGCTTAGCCACGCCCATAATTCGCTCCCCGCCGCCTTGTGTTGTCTAATTGAGCGCCATGGCTTTGTCCTGCTGCCGGGCACTGGCACTGGCACTGAGCCGCCTAAGCGAATGTGCAGCAGTGTCAAGGAGCATGGGATATGGGGTATGGGGTGAGGGGTGAAGAGCAGCAGGTCAAAGCTTCGTTGCTATTCCAGGCTCATGGCCACGACAATTGGACCACGGCTTGATCCTTATCGTTAGTTATCGTTAGTTATGCTGTGTGCTCCGGCACTGAAGCGAAAGAAATGAAGGAGTGGTCCCGGTCCCGGTCCCAGTCAGACCAGATCGAAGTGCTTCCAGGGGATTTGTGACCGTAGTTGTCAGGGATTGAACATGGACGGGGACGGGGACGGGAACGAGGACGGGAACGAGGACGGGCTACCCCACTTCGATTCAGTTCCATTGCAGTCAGATCTCGTTAAGCTTTTTTTTTCGCCGTAGTCGGTTTCTCGAAAGCTTTGGAGAGATTCTTTGGCCAAAATCCACAGCTGGAATGTCCACCTCCCTCATCCGAGATGTCAATTTCAATGAGCCGGGAACCCTTGAAACCCTGGCCACTCCTCGTTATCCCTAATCCGTAATAAGCTGTATCAATAGCTGGGGCAAGTCAATAAGCGAACTTAGCTCTGCTCAGCTCGGTG